GTAAATTTAATATTAGCTAAAACTCGCGGGTTACTCACGTATATATATTATGAAAAGCTCTACTGGTTTCGAACGACATAGGGGTTCTTCCTCATGAACAGCATGCGCAGTCACAGCGATGTCGTACGCCTACTGTCTCTCAGTATATTCAAGTGAGTAACCCGCGCGTTTTAGTTAATTTAGTATGTCTCACGATAGTTATTATAAAAAAAAAATTATATCTTCTAAAACTAGAAAGTATGACTTTACAAGATCCGAGAATCGAAGTTAAAATCCCTTCATCATACATACAAACATAACATCACGCCTTTTATCCCCGAAAGGGTAGGCAGAGGTGCACATTACGGCACTTAATGCTACTGTACAATGTAACACCCACTTTTCACTATTTATATTATGAGTCCCATGTAATAGGGGGTGAGCCTATTGCCATATATTGGGCACAGTTCCAGACTCCGTGCTACCACTGAGAAAAACCCAGTAATACTTTGCCCGACCCGGGAATCGAACCCGAGACCCCTTGCCCGGCAGTCGCACTTGCGACCACTCGGCCAATGAGGCCAATGAGTTGATAATCTAATCCCTTCATCAGTCACTCTTATAACCACTTGACTAGCAAGGCAGGATGGATAAAGTTAAGTTCAATTTCTTCAGTTCTGAATAACCCACACTACAACTTCAAAAATATCGTTCAACTGTAAGTAACATCCGCAAAGTTTCATAAAAGACTTACTAACCATAAAATACTGGATACCCTTACAAATCTGTTCCAGACCTTCAATAAGTAGAGGTCAAGAGAGGGAAGTAACAATATATGACAGTAAACGTTTCAGTATCATTTCAATCATGTCTGTGGGAGAATAAAATATATTTGGAACTCAAATCTTTCACACTTTGGGTAAATCAAAGAGCGGCGCTCATTGGTAACCGAAGCTATAGTAAAATGTAGGTAATATGTTCGTTACCAAGTTATCATCTAATGCCTTTAAACGAGCAATTGGATAGTTTCCAGGGTATCAAAATTAAAAATCTAATCAGTCCGTCAGTTACATAATAAAAAAAATAATAGACACGTATTATTTATTTTTTCGTATTAAGTTGCAATACTTCGATAAAATGGCGCTTTAGGAGTGGGAGGTCGTTACGTCATAACGTGCTACAAAATGTGGCTCGTTTCGACGTCTCACGATATTTCAAATTAATATATCAATCGTTTTAAATTAATGTACCAGACGGACATTGAAATAAAATTTTCTCAGTATATTTACTTGAGTGACTCGCGATATAAGTTAATTAAGATTTAACTATATTTGAAAATATATTCACGATACGTAAGAAAACACTAGAATAGTTGCGGAACTCTAAAAAAAATGCACATTCTTTATCACTATAGTAACATCTAGAAAAACAAAAATACATTGCACACAATATTAAAATATTCCACGTCACAAGTAAGCGTCAACCCTAACGAACATTTATCGAACTACCCACATAACCCTTGAAAAAGGCAAAGAAATAAATCTGATATCTTTTGCTTTTTACGAGAACTGAGACCTTCATATTTTGTGATATATCGAAGCCGCCATTTTATCGTTTATCGGGCAAAGGAAGTACTCGGTGGTGTGAAAGGGATTTTTTTAATCATTCCCTTAAAATTTTCGTGTTTTGTAGGTTAAGGGTTGGTGTGATGCAATTTGAACCTTAATGTATGGTGCGTAAAGTGTTCAATATTGTTTAGTATTTTGGTAGAAGCTGGTATGACCTTGTGTTGAATTAGAACGAGAGGGCTCATGTTTAATATCAGGTTAGAAAAATTTAAGTGTATCCAGTCTTTTATATTTTCCCTGATTCCAATGTTTGTTTAATATTATAATTGGTTACAAGCAGATGTATTCTAAATCACCTTTTTTTAGAAGAGTAAGCGTAAAGTTATGCGAAACTTTTAATAACAATTTTGAACATAAAGAACATAAAAATGTGTTTATCTACACGTATCGTGTTCATACGCCAACCATTTACTTAAAGTAAATACCACTCACATAAAAACCCAAAATATATTTAGGACGCAAAACGCTTAGTACCCAAAAATCTAGATTTTTCTTTACGCTAAAGAGATGCCTAATAAAGTAGACATATTAAGTGAAGTGAAGCTCACAAAATTGGCATGAAATTATCATAAACTTTATAAGATACGTTTTGGTATGAAATAAGGAAAGAAAAAAATATTTTGGAGTTCGTTGGAAGCTAACTCTTCTCTGTTAGTGGTGGTAGTAGGTGAAATGGTTGCTTCAACTTCTGCTGCAACAATCAGTGGCAGTTCACATAACATCAACAGCCTATAAAAATCGGAAATCGGTCGACGGACTGACGGCAGATGGGCTAGGAGAGTCCTTAAGTGGAGACCACGGACAAGACGAAGCGTGGGCAGGCCTCCCGCTAGGTGGAACGACGACATCGCCAGAGTTGTGTGGAGCCTGTGGATGCAAGTGGCGAGTTGTCGATCGACGTGGAGAACAAAGGGGGAAGTCTTTGTCCAGCTGTGGACGTCTCTCGGCTGTTGATAATGATGATGATAATGAGAGTAACAAAAAGATAGGATAAATCTTACTAATATTATAATTATGCGAAAGTTTATGTGGTTTTTTATGGAATAAGCTGATAGACAAGCAGACGGATCAGCTGACTGTAAACAATCGGCGTCGCCCATGGAAACACCAGAGGCGTTACAAATGCATTACCAGCCTTTTAGGGAGTATGAATTTGAGGATTATTGGGGATTCCGGGATTGAGGAGATTAGGCAGGAGGGTAATTGAGCCTCCGGTATCCTCATTCACACAAAGAAATATACGCAAGTATTGTTTCACTTCGGTTTTCTGTGAGACCGTAGTATCACTTTAGTTGAGCCGGCCCATTCGTGCCGAAGCATGGCTCTCCCACGCTTGGATTGTGTGTTATGAGCATGTTAGATACTCAATCACGTCGAAATGCCCGAAGGGATTGGGATAAAATTTGTAGCTGGGAGAGCGAGCGAAACCACTGGAAGAAGTTATTGTAGAATAATATTTTTTTTATTTAAAGGATAGAAATAAAATCAGACCTATAAATAACCGTTTCTATTCACATTCATCTGTCTCTTCATATTTAAAATTGTCTTTATTTGAAACGAAGACGAGTTTTACTTTAATGCCGATCCTCCTTTGTTTTATAACAAAAAGTCTTCTAAACTTATTCCCAACTTCTTTATATCTTCAGTTTAATTTAATTTCATCATTTTATTGCTTAACTTTCGAAACATATTAAGTTGTCATTTTCAATTAATGCTTACGTTTCAATTAAGGGTCCAATAGGGCTGATGTCGATACGAAGCCGCGGAGGACTTAACGGGTTGCCAAGACTCCGGCTCGAAGTGCAAGAGTGGGAACGGGGTGGTTTTTAAGCATGTACGGACGAATTTTTTGATGCTCTTTGTAAAGTTATTTTTAGTTTTCTTTCGTTTAGTTGTAGTTAGTTAATTTTAAGTTGTAAGTATTAATGTAGTTATTTACATCTGTTTATTTTTAATTTTGAAAATAACGATGATAATCTACACTTTAACCCTTTGAGTACCGTCATTATAGACACAATTAAAGAACAATAGGTTGCGGTCACCGGTATCCTCGCGGTGTTTGACAGTTTAAAGTAGATGCGACAATTCCTATAGTCTAAAAAAGTATGTCACCAAAACAGAAACCTCATTCACTATCAACGTCAAATTTAATAATTCATCACATCAAAGAAAATTATAGATTCTACGATCAATTACAAAACGGAGCTTCTCAAAACTGTTAACCATTTTACATAATAATGAAACGAACAGACGAACCATAACTGTAACAAACTTCTATTGAAATGAATCAAAATTATTTTCATTCAAAATCATTAAAAGTTTATATTGTAAAGTGAAATCTGGGTTGTTATATAAGTGGTGTCTTAAGATGGTTATTGGTTAAGAGGCTGATGACAAACCTAGTTTTCTGTTCATAAAAATAAAAGTTAAGTAAAATTATCCATTTTATTATATTGTATTCTGTGACTGCCTCGTTGGCCGAATAGTCGCAAGTGACGGCCGGGCAAGGGGTCTAGGGTTCGATTCCTGAGTCCGACAAAGTATTGACGGGTTTTAAAACAAAATCTCAGTAGTAGCATTTTTGTTATATGTCCCATGTAATAATAGGAGAAGAGCCTATTGCCATATACTGGGCACAATTCCAGACTCCGTGCTAAAACTGAGATTTTTTAAATATCCGGTAATACTTTGCCCGACCTGGGAATCGAACCCGAGACCCCTAGCCCAGCAGTCGCGACAACTCGGCTCAAATCAATGATGGAAACATCAGATGCAAATCTCAATCATTCATTACACTTACTTTTTCCAATAGCATATTTATTATTTACCTTATGATTTTTATTCCTACACCCATAAATACTTGCCTCTTGCACCTACCATTTACTCTTCTCTGCATCACCCAAAGGTCAGACTGGTAGAAAATGCCTGCGGCATTAAGTCCACCTTTTTGTACATTTTGTGCATGAAGCATATTAAATAAATAAATAAATAAATAATTATTGAAATTAAAATCCCACTGAAAATTGTAACTTATAGTGTGTAGTATGTGTGTGTCTAAGTGTGACAACTCGCCTCACAAGTAGCGTAAGTTAGTATTATATTATTACACTCAATTATAGTTATTCGTCAGAATCACACGTCTCATTAAATGCCCCCAAAGCCCCATATGACTAATAATAAATATTTTAAAAGATACGTTTTATAAAATCGACTTAAAACTTTTTTTAAATTGGTTAATTAACACACACTTTTCTGAAAACCGCATCCAAATCGGTTCAGCCGATCGCGAGATTTTCGCACACAAACATTTGAATATTATACAGGTCATACTGAGATCTTAATTTTCTTTTTCTTTTTTAAGTCAGTTAAAAATAAAAATAAAAGCCAACTCACCACTGATATGAACAGCAATAGCAGGCGGCATCACGAAGATCCCAACCAACAGATCAGCGACTGCCAAGCTGGTCACAAAACAATTGGTCACAGTGCGCAGCCGTTTCGTTGTCACAACGGCAGATATTATCAAAGTATTACCTATCACAGTCACTACGATTAACAAGCACAATATAAACACAACACTAATCTCTACACCATCATATGTCACTTCTAAACATCCATTCTTAGTAGAATTCACACTAACACTACAATTATCGATAACCTCATCTGCCCTTTTTATAACGTTGTAAAAATTGTTTGTTAAGTTGTATTTTTCTTCTTTCGCGTTTTCTATAATGATTTCGGTCTGTGTGTCCGTTGTTATGTTCCATTGTATATCCAGGTCGGGCACTGATATCATCTACGATCGGTTGAGGGTGATTTTGATGTCCGATTGCATTTTCTGGAACAAGAGAGTTTGATGTAAGTTACTATCTTCATACACTTAACGTCCGTGAAGAGATCTTTGACACAGTCAACCTATACAAAGCCGTATACATCCCCTAAAGAAAAGTAAAGTTAATGTATTCGATCATGATAAGAAGAATTAACATTACATATGTACGTTTAAGACGAAAACATGTGATAATGATCAGACGCATCACTTGTCTTGATGGTAAGCAATCTGCGCCACCAATGGACATCAGAATCATTAGAGGCGTTAAGAAATGCATTGCCGGCCTTTTGGGAGTTAGGAATTTTAAGGTTGATGAGGGAAGTAATTGAATCTCCTTGTTACCGTTTAACTCAAAAGCTCAGTAATCACACAATTTAATATTACAATCAAAAAGACATTATATTTTTCCCCTGTATTTGTGCATTTACAAATATACATACACATGACACTCAGACTTAGACCAATAATTTGTGGATTAATCAGACCCACGACACGATGCACGGCAGCTCTAACCATGCACTCAACATTCATATAAAGTAGGCATTTCAAAAAACAGAACATTGTAAAATTCAACACAAACTTTGAGTCCAAAATACCAATTACTTCAAACATTAATCTAAAGTTTAATCAAACGTAGAATATAAGCCTCTATCGCTCACTACATAAAAAATAAATACACAAAACTTAATTTACTTTACGACCACGATTACAAAGTTTAAAATGAAATACCACACCAGACTTGATATAAGTTTTACACAAAAAAAAACAAATTCGCAATGAGAATTCGTGCTTGTACGCAAAGACGTGTTTCGAAGCAATCATTTTGGAATACACAATTTATATATTTACGGGAATAAAATATAACTTTTTATCGTAAAACGTGGATAATTTATTCCGCTCGCCTTCTCATTATCATACTTCTTATTTATATTAGACCAGATTAGTATTCAGTTTTCAGTTACAAAGTGGAACGTGGTCCTTTCTGGAATGTATTTCCAGATTTTGGACATAGCCACTTTGGAATAATTATTTGAAATCTTTTCACACAGTAATTTAATATGCTTGGGCTTCCTTTTTCAATGCATTACTGGGTTTTTAAAAAAAGTTCTCAGTTGTAGCATGGGTTCTGGAATTATGCCTGGTATATGGCAATAGGCTTACCCCATGGCTATTACATGGGACTCGTAACATAAATAGTAAAAAGTGGGTGTTACATTGTACAGTGGCATTAAGTGCTATAATGTGTACATGGTTATGTCTTGTAGATTTGTGTTTTCATTTTTAATTATGATTGTAGGAAGAAAAAAATACTAGATAAAATTAAGTTGGTCATAAAATCAATTAATGAAAGTATCATTATTTTTTTATATTTTGTTGTATTGAACAGTCGAAATAATTTATTTTTTATTACGGAAAGTACGCAATAGTACTTGCAACTCCCAGATTAACGAGACATTCAAGCTTTCAATTCTTTATTTATATTTCAACACAATGGCTTAGGATTAACTCTGCGGTGCACTAAACCCATTAATACGACTGCGTAGACGTATTAATGTAACCACGAGTTATTTATTTTGTAGTTGGTAAGGTTCATTTTCGTTTAAGAAATAAAAACGTTTATTTTATTTTAGTCTTTATGGATGTGTTTTTCAAATGCATTTGTTTGTTGTAAGGTTAATGAACTGAAGGCTACTTTGTTTTCTTATGTGATAAACTAGCTTTTGCCAGCGGTTTCACCCACGTTTTTGAGAAATAAAAAGTATCCTAGGTGATATTCCAGACCATAACCTACTCCTGTCCCAAATTTCATCCCGATCCCTTGAGCCGTTTTGCCTAAAGAAGTAACAAACAAACAAACTGTATACAACAATAATATTAATAGGATTGTGTGTTTCAAAAATGCATTTAACTCGTCGAGTACCGGTTTTGTAGACACAATTATAGAACAATAGGTTGCGGTCACCGGTGACCGCTTGGTGTTTGACAGTTTAAATGGTTTAATTGATTTTATAAATACATAACAACACAAAATGGCATCCTTAGAGCCATATTTAGACAACCCGTAGGTATATACCCAAGCGATCACCGGTGACCGCTTCCACTAACTACATTATAGACCTTATTTCCAATTCTTTGAGACTTATTTTGTACTAGCGACCCGCCCCGGCTTCGCACGGGTGCAATATGCATGTATTATACATGCAAACCTTCCTTAAGAATCACTCTATCTATTAAAAGAAACCGCATCAAAATCCGTTGCGTAGTTTTAAACATCTAAGCATACATACGGACATACAGCGAAAGCGACTTTGTTTTATACTATGTATTGATGAACCAATTTAAACGAATGAGTATTTTCTTTCGACATTGCGTGATATAAGCAGATACAGCGTATTTGAAACATTTTTGTTGCTCATTTATTACCAGATTATGTTTGTTCAGTCTCATAACTTGTTGATATTCAAGATGGCAATATAATATACAATGTATTCTTGTCATAGAAGTCATTTATAAAGAATTGTGGTTTATTTTATTTTTGACTAGCTGTTACCCGCGACTTTGTCGCCATAGAATATGAATTTTAGAACTTAACGTTTTTTATGTTTCAATTTTCCAAAATAAAAGTAGTCTAAGTTGCTCCTTAGACTACTTTTTTGCTTGACGTACAGCAGCTGCCTGCCAATAAAAGACTTGTAAAATCGGTTTAGCTATTCTAGAGATTAGCAAGTACAAACAGACAGGCAGACAGACAAGAATTGTAAAAAAATTTTTTTTTAGAGTAACCCCCCACTCTAGAATTTCCTCCTATGTGCGTTTACAAACATACAAGTACACATGATACCCCGACCCTGAACAATAATTAGTGGATCACACAAAGAGTTGTTCCGTTCGGGAATTGAACCCGCGACACGTTGCGCGGCAGCCAGTTGCCCAGCCATCCCAACAACCGTGCAATCAGCCCTGTTGGGCAACAGTGCTGATGCCGATTCGGAGTCGCGGAGAACCTTACGGGTAACCGGGGCTCCGGCTCGACGTGCAGGAGAAGGAACGTGGTAGTTTTAAGTCAGTAAGAGTCTGACATTCCCTCCCGCCTCACCCAGGCGGGAGCAGTCATTCGACGATTTTCCCCCTTAAAAAAAAACCATTCGGCCAACGAGGCAGTTTAATATCATTAGTTAAAATAACCAAAAAATTTATGAAACCTTTTTATCTAAAATAATAATTAAAAAATTCACGAAAATTTTAACCTTACGATTAATACACGAACTTATTCTACCTAAAACAAAATGACAATTTGTCATAAAGATTAAAACTATACCAATTAGCCAGTGAACCGTGGCGTGAGCACTAAAATTAAAAATAATTACACTGTCGTTCATAAAAACTGCCTCAGAACACTAAAAAACTTTTTCTTAAGCACAAAAGAGAATTTTCAAAGAGAAATATGAAAGAATCTCGTTTACACTGCCGTGCAAAGTAAATGCAAAGTACAGAAATCATTAACAATGCCACCTTTTTAGGTTATTTTTTTATGTCTCGCAATGTACCTGAATTAAAGATGGATTCCTATTGTACTTTTGTTTAAGCTCTGAATTGTTGTCTTCCAATGTTTGGACGGGGCAATTGAATTCCGGTAACCTCACTCACACTACGAAATGCAACGCCAACGTTGTTTCACGTCGTTTTTCTGTAAGGCCGTGGTATCAATTCAGTCGAGCCGGCCCATTAGTGCTGAAACATGACTCTCCTACGCTTATACAGATACAAGCTAGAGAGATAACACAGCAGAATAATTATGTAGACAAACAAAACCCAGATGATCTGAAGATTTACCGCGAACACACAAAGTCAAAGTCAAAGTCAAAATCATTTATTTCAATTAGACCAGGAAGGCGCTTTTGAACGTCAACAATATAAATTTAAAGGTATTTGCTCATTCCAAGGTAAAGAACAAAAGTCATACCCAGAACCAAATTACATAATTCCTACATAACATAACATAACATAACATAACATCACGCCTTTTATCCCCGAAGGGGTAGACAGAGGTGCACATTATACCACTGTACAATATAACACCTACTTTTCACTATTTATGTTATAAGTCCCATGTAATAGGAGGTGAGCCTATTGCCATATACCGGGCACAATTCCAGACTCCGTGCTACTATTGAGTTTTTTTTAAAATAGTAATACTTTGCCCGACCCGGGAATCGAACCCGAGACCCCCTGCCCGGCAGTCGCACTTGCGACCACTCGGCCAGCGAGGCAGTACATAATTCCTACCCTTTCTTCCACACGTAATACATGTCATTGTAATCTGAGTCTTTAGTATCAGAGTCTGTATTACCTTTCTTCAAGGCCCGAGTGAATAGGTTGCTTATGGGACGACGTGCTCCATCGTAGCCCGTATCATTGCTTACCACCAGGCGATGGAGGACAAACGTCGGACCACCAAATAAAAAAAAATGTTAATAAACGACAATAGTACGTCAATCGATATTCCCTTAAGGCTGTGAGGACGATAATACAGTGGACTTAGTAATACGTATTGATACCGAACCATTTCAAGGAAACTATAAATCACAGTTATTTACATTCCAAACTATAAACTTGGTCTAGATTGACACGTGGCTTATTTTCCAAGTAAACATATATGTTTACATTGTATACAAACTGACAAAATTTGTTCTAGGATGATTCCTAGTAAGACTTTGATTTCATAATCGATTAGTTCGACGACACCTATGTACGAAGACTATGAAATATCAGAGACGTGAATGATTGTGAGTGTGTTATACATATATTTGTTCCGCCGTGTCCTCAGGGAAGTGATTGGCGATGGCGACCTCTTGCGTCCGGGCCTAGTGCAGGCCATGATGCGGAGCGAGGGGGACTGGGATGCCGTCTCCTCCTTTTGCGAAGCAGTCATGCTAGCTAAGCAGGAGGCGGGACGCGTTAGGCACTGAAGCGCTGCCTCCTCGTAACCCAGCCATCGCGAAGGA